GGGGGGTGGTTCCGTCCCAGGGCGGCAGCGGGACTCTGCAGGTGGCGCGGGAGCGGCGTCCGGCTCGCCCCTCCCTGTGTGACCGGCGGCCGCCCGGCGCAGCCTCGGACCAGGTCTCCGGGGGCGCACGCACTGCCTCCGCCGTGCGATCACGTGCTGGGATCGCGCGATCATGTGCTGGGATCGCGCACCTGCTCGCTGGTGCCAGCATGCGGGGGGCCGTGGCGCCCAGCAGACCCGTCCCCCACTTCCCCCCCACCCCCACCCTCGCCCACCCACCCTCCCGCCCCCCCGCCCCACCAGGCGCTGTACCGCCTGACGCCCCAGAGCCGCATGGTCATCAAGGGCTGCTCCGACGTCATGTGCTCCATCTCCATGGACGCCCAGTCGCGCGAGCTGGACCCGCTGGAGAACTCCTTCTACGCCCCCTCCACCGCCGCCTCGGAGCCCACGACCACGGCGGTGTGAGGCCAGGGCCGGCACGCCGACCCTGCGCCCGCCCGTCCTCCCCGCCTGCACGCTCGCGCTGTCGCCGGCACCCCCGGTCCGACGCTGTACCATCGCCCTGCCTGACCCGTGACCCCCCCTGATGATTCCTTCCCTGGCTGACGATCGATCACGACCCACCCGGCCTGCAGACCGCGGCGTGTCACTCGCCGGCGCCTACCTGCCCTGGAATGGGTGACCCTGAAACGATTTCATTGGACATGCGCCAGGGGCCACGCAGGGACATCATGCAGCCTCCGGCGCGCCACCTCGCCACACTCCGCCACGTGCCCCGCGCGCGGCCCCCCCCGCCCGCCTGCCGCGGGACAGGCCGCCGCGCACGCCCCGTGCCAGCAGCGCCAACACCGCCCCCACCAGGTCCACCAGGATCCAGGACAGCGCCCGGCCGGCCGCAGCTGCCGCACGGCGGCCGAGCGGCAGGCCCACGTCTAGCGCCTCCAGGAGCAGGCTCAGGGCAAAGCGCGTCCCCGTCAGCGCGTCCAGCTCGGCGCCGCGGCGGTATGGCACGCGCCGCTCCTGATGAGAGGGAAGGAGGAAAGGGAGGAATCGGCATGCTGAGGACTGTGGGGCCCCCCTAGGAGGGGGGGGAGAGGGGGCACAGGGTGGACTCCGGACGCGGGGAACTTGAGTAGGCAAACGAGAGGCAGAGGGGATTCCCAGGGAGTGCAGGGTAGTGATTATGGCGAGATGGAACGCAGGGGTGGCACGGCGACCAGGGCAAGCGATCATGCACTTCGAGCGCTGCGGGCCGCCGGACCCCGCATCCCTCTCCCTCGCTCTCCCCCCTCCCCCCCCGTCTAGGCGCCCCGCCCCCCCACCTGCACGCTCCCGCCCGGCCCCAGCGTGCGCAGCACAAGCCTGTCCTCCAGCATGCACTGCACGCTGTGGTACTGGGCCTCCACCCAGCACGCCAGC